CCCCCCCCCCCCCGGGACATCAGCATTTTCCATATTTTTAGTGAAAACATTTTCCCACCTTTTTTGTGGGAAAATTTTTTCCAGCCGACTGCTCAATTCCTTTTTTTTTGGCAATGGAAACAAATATCATAACCAATTGTACAATTTTCATGTAAAACAAAGTCAAACGAACACTAAACTTTGATAAAAAAAATGATTTTTTATGAAACAATTTTTTTTTTCGTTTTCGTTTTTTACTTTTTGACAAGGGAAATAAATTTTATAACCAATTATGGAAAAAATATCACTTTCATGAACAATTTTCATGTAAAATAAAGTCAAACGAATAGAAAATTTAAAAATTTTCCGAATGGAAAATTATAATAATCAAACACATTTGAAATCATTTTTCCTGCAGATCATTTTCTAGGCAAATCTTTTCCATGTAAAATATTTTCTTTCCACCCTTACAATCAAACGCACCCTTAATGTGCCATTCCGCAACTATACTGTAAATCAGATACACATTCAAAGTGAAATTTTACTCGTATAGCTTTTTAGCAAATTTAGTTCTCAATGTCTTGCTCTCATTTTTCGAAATTTTCTCCTCCGACTTGTCATTTAGGGATATAGCTTTTGCTATTGCCTTCATCTTCCGCACATTTTTAGATCTTTTCATTTGCTTTCCCAGTTTCTTCTTCCTGTAAAAATAAGTTTATAAAAATTTCAAACAAGTAATGTGATACAGAAGAGATTGGCACACCATCTATCTGAAACAAACAAAAATTGTACAAAAGAAATTGTTTACTTAATGTAATTTAACCACAATTTCAGAATCTGTTGTCAATATTTTAAACTCAATTTTAGAGAACTCTCGAATATAAGATCGATAGTTACTTCCTTTGTATTCTCTAAACTAGAATCTGGCATCAAATGATTGAAAGATTTAAATCATCTTCACGGTGTAGGTAAGTGTTTCTTTAATCTCTGTAAGAACGTTCAATTGACCATCCTGAACTAACAAATTCTTTCGAAGACAACGTATAGTCTATCATCCTGTAACAGACTGTCTAAAATTTCCTTAATCTCAGATCCACACAAACCAGTAGAAATATTTCCAACAAGCTTTCACCATGTTTAAAGGTAAAACAAATTTTCTGTTCCTTCACCATGCAATACAAAACTTTGTTTGTAGCATTATACATTCGGTGCTAAAAATGTCATTTCAAGATAGAATAACTTGTTGAGTATATAACTTCCTTATGAAACTATAGGTGGTTGCGGTATCTCCGGATATTGGTATTAAAGAGAGGGCAGAGTCGAAAATTTGATCAAGACGAAGCATCTCGTGTCTATATATTTGCTCCAAAATTGCATGTCAAATGTGATCATCTGCCACAAAACGATAGCCTATCTTGGAATTCATATGAAAAAGACCATATTTAGCCCCTGTTTGACACACATTTTTTCAAAATACATTCTTTCAAAATTCATTTTCAACCACACATTCTTCAATAAAACGATATTTTCCGTAACGTTAATAACTGCTCCTTACTTTTTAACCACGTATTTTCCATCATATCACTGCTTAAAATACATTATTTCCTCAATAATATCCATCAAACACACCATTAGTCAAAAATCAAATAAGCAATTCTATCAATGACTGGAACCTTGTGCAAGTAAAATCTCGATTTAGGGTATATACTACATCTGCATAGAATTTTTATAAAGTTTTAGCATATGTATCATACATTATTAACATATATAAATTATAAATATACTGAGTTTTCACTCAATTATAACTTCTATCCTTAATTCGCGGATTATTTAAGCGAAAACAAAAATTCAGAACACAACAGTACAAAGAATAAACGAACACTGACCTAGGCGATCCGCCGGCAAAAGCATTGGAAGCTACTGTCTCAGACGTATCCATAGCTAAAAAAATTGAAGTTCAGGAAGAAGAATAATTTTAGCTTGATTGATTATTTCATTTTTTGCTGGAAAAGGAAATATAAAAATTGAAAAACAAAAATTTAAAAAAAAAGAAAGAAAAGGAAAGAGCACGAACCTTGAGGAATATCCGTGACCTTATGATCATCTGATTTGACATCCATGTCCATTAGACCGGATCCATTTTTCTTCTTCTTGTTTCTGTTCTTCGCCATTGCTAAATCGTGGGGTTTGGAGGGCGTTAGGGTTTTTCTTTTCTCGTTTATAAAATAGGGAACAGTTAAGGGTACTTCGATTGGGCAGCCCATCGGGCCGAAAATAAACAATACTTGGGCTTGCGTTCAGGGCCTTCGAAATAGGCTTGTTTCTCCAATAGACATCAGGTGAAATTAAAATAAAAACATTTTCATTGAAGCTTATCTCCCTCCCATGCAGAACTCTCTCTCTCTCTCTCCAGGTTTTGCTTCCTCAACTGACGTTAACCACTATCATTTAAACCTAAAATTTCAGCTCTTCCGTTGCAAAAGCTTAAGAGTTTTAATCTAATTTCAAGATTTTCTTTCTCGTCTCATAATTTCCTGTTTTCTGCATTTTTTCCCCTGAAAAGTTACCTCTAATTCACGAGTTTCTACCAGAATTTTATCTCCAAGTCTGAAATTGAAACCGTGGTTCAAATTTTCTTTCATTTTTTTTTTTTTTACAATTCTGATTAATTTAGGGTTTTAGGCTCGTGGTTTGAACAATGTCGTCGTAGACGTTGTTCGACATTTGGGGAAAAACTAATTTTTTTTTTTTTCAAATTGATCAACATTTCGTACGTATTTGTGGATTTTGCGGTGAAACGTGTTGAAAATGTTGTCTATGTCGCCGAATTCAATAGTTCGGAGCTCCATGGAGGAAATGCTGGATTCTCTCCAGAGAAAGGAGGAGAATGAGATGCCGAAGGACAGGCTCCCGGATCTGCCGGCAAGGCCCAAGCCAGCATCCAGGGCCCGGTTGCCTTCGTCTAAGAGGCCGCTGCCCAAAAGCATCAATATTGGGGAATCTGAGTCCTCGAAGAGCTCATCAAATTTTAATGTAAAAAAGGAAGATACAAAAGGTTTAAGAGGGAATAGTTTTGTAGCTAAAAGGGTAAAGGAATGGGAGAAGGTAGGTGAGCCAAGGTCAGAGGATAAGGACCATGCTAAACTCACCAGCTCGCCCCTGGATTTGCACCCAAGGTTTAGGGAGTCTGAGTGGGATGACAATGTTGGTTATTTCGTTGAGAAGGTACAATTGCATTTTGATCCTTTTTTCCTTCCAAAATTGTACGTTTACAATTGTGAAGCTTTATTGCTGAGTTTTGAGTTTTATACATATTCTCGGGTTGTTAATCACTAAGATGTGAATTCACTAGGGAGGATTTAGTATGGTTTAAAGAGTAGATTCATAGAACACACTCCAAATGGGATGATCATATGGTTGGATTAGACTTTTGCATTCAACAAAAAAATGGAAGGCTTATTGAAATGTAATGGAAATGATTGGAGATTATTTTTTTTAATCAGAAACTTATTGTTTGTTTCTCCCAATTTTTCCCTTTATCTATGTTCTTTATTTTATGTATTACTTACCGCCAATGCTTACCATAATATAATAGTATGTGTATGTATTTATATGTATTCATCTATATAATTTATAAGCATTACAAGAGCGAAATTACACCTAGAAAAGTCACAGGTACATATAGTGTATATAAGAATGTTTGCAATATGTGTTCATTGAAGTAATTAAACATTAAAAAATATAGCATATGCGGCCATCACCTAAGCATTCGGGCCAAACCTAGATCCTACGAGTTTTCCCTAACCATGGTTTAGATGCTTGAATAGTATGTAGCGGACATTATACTTACAGCTAGTTCTAGCTTGTCTTCCAATGTGGTCTACTTTGTTATATGTTAAAAATCTGGAAAGACAGTTAAGCTCGCATCACAATACTTGAAATGGGACCATATCTGCTAGGTGGAAAGCCAGAGTAGTGCCTTAAGTATTAGTAGCCATTCTGCAGCAATTTGACATACTTCCTGATGCACCAAGTTGGTTATATGACTGTACTTCTGAGCACATTAGGAAAGTTTGTGTATATATCAATGGTCGAACTTATTCTTTGATATATTATGCTTGTTTAGCTGTTTGCCAATGGCCATAGACACAACTGACACTGCATAGTATGTGTTCTGTTGCATAAAATTTGGCTACAGCTTTTAAGCTATATGGATACACATTTGTGTTTCCAGTCACTTTGTGTAATACAGAAGTGTATGGCAAAAATGGAAAAGATAAATATACCATGACAATTGATGGAATTATCTCATAATGTGATTCAGAGCTCCTCCAATTTTTAGGATAACATGTGCTTTTTCCATCAGTTTTGGATGTAGTGAAATTAAAGATGAAGGTTAAAGCAAAGGACGAGAGCAATCTGCACAAATTTTTGTCTAGGAAGCAATTGGTTACTCTGTTTTCTAGATTCTGACACTGGGTTTGAATCCCATAGCCCGATGCGGCGAAAAATTTGGCAAATTTCCATTAATTATTTCTTTCCCCTGCGCTAAACTTAGATTCTTATCAAGGCAATCATGTCAAATATAATTTAGGGAAAAACGTTTTGGTAGTTCATTAACACCTTGATACTTGACCAAAATTTCCTGTTGATTATTTATCAGAATTCAGAAGCTAAAAGATCACGTGGATTAGTTTTTCTAATTTTCTGTTCCTTGAACTACAGATTGGTGCGTTTGAAGATGCTAAAAACCAAGTTTTGCAAGGTACTCTTGTGGTTCAGAAGTGCTTTCGTGGTCATCATGCTCGTCAATACTTTCATGAGCTCAAAGGAGGAGTAATAAAATTGCAATCATGTGAGGCTGACATGAATTACTAGTCATTTTTAAATTAATCAATTTCCCCATGGGAATTGATTTTGTAAGCAGTATATCTTTTACATCATTATTTCTTCTAGAAATCCATGCAAAAATTAGCAATACCTGTTGTGTTCAGTGGCAGATTGGCGACTCTCCCCAGAATATCATTAGATCTTTTCCCTTTTATGTGCTTATGTGAAGCTTCCAAATATTGCTTGAGTTCTGGAGAACCAATATTTTTTTAGTAGCGTGATATTTTCTCTGAATCCTAATATTTGCTTCTTCTAATAAGTTATCCAATAATATGTTACTTCTTTCAAGTGCTGACGTTTCATACTCTTGCAGTTATTCGTGGTGAAATTTCCAGAAGGAAGCATTGCGCTTTGCACAAGTTGAATGAGCATGTTGCTTATGGAATGCCAGATAAGCAGCGGATATCAGTTGTGAAAATTCAATCGGGTAAAGATTTTGTGTTTGTTAATGTCTTTGGAGTTCTAATTGAATATATTGTCCTAATCCCAAACATTCTCTTCTACAGCAATTCGTTGGTGGTTGGCGCAACGGCAATTTGGTTACCTTAGGAATTCGAAAAGGTCCAATGTTGCTAAAGGGAAACCAAGCAGGAAGATTTGTGACGTTAAGGTACTAATTTCTACTTTTTTGCTTCTACTCCCTCCGTCCCGTAAAGATAATCCTTTTTTTTCCACACAGATTAAGAAAATTTAGTTAATATAGTTGAAATAATAAATTTTACAATTATTTTTCCTAATATACCACTACATTAATGTAATCGATATTCAATTTAATTAAATTATGCATTCAATATTCAAGGTAATTAAACTATTCTTGGTACTAATTATTGTTTAATACGAGAATCAAGGTAAGTGATTTATATTTCTGATAACAAAGCACATTAAATAGGAGCAACTATTATATTAACTACACTCTCAAATTAGAAAAAAGACTATAATTTGGGACAGACGAAAAAGGAAAACGAGACTATCTTTATGGGACGGAGTGAGTGTAAGATTCAATACCATCTGCTGTTAAATCATTAATGTCAGTTATATATATCTAATGTTCTCTTAGAGGTATGGAGATATCATCTGTACTTATGCTTGGAAAATGATGAAGAAACTTGGATCTCTGTTTCAAGTAAATTTATGTTTCGTGCATGGATATGTTGTCTGGATTATGCTTCTACTGGAAAGGAAATAAGAAACTTGCATTTATGTTTCGTGCACTGAAAATCAACATGTGGATCTGAGTCAAAATGCAAGTTTTTTCACTCTCTTTCTTTCCCCAACCAACACACATTTATCCCCTTATTCTGTCTCGATCTTTGATTTTGTGAATTTTTAAGTGAGATAAACTCTTAGTGGCTGAGCAGGATATGCCACCCGAAATGTTACCTTCCGTGGTGGAAGAACTTCAAAGGAAAGTGTTGATGGCAGAAGCAATTCTTGGTCAGAAGGATAAGGAAAATGCTGCTCTAAGATTGCAAATCAGACAATTTGAGGCACGGTGGTCTGAATATGAATCTAAGATGAAATTTTTGGAAGAGGTGTGGCAAAAGCATACGGCATCTTTGCAAGTGAGTTTATTATGCTCTAAGTTACTTCCAAGGAATTAATGTCTGGCCCCTAAGTTATTTTTTTCTGATATTACTGTGACTACAGATGAATTTGGCTGCCGCCAAAATGAGTCTTGGTGTTGATGATAATTCAGGTCAACGTGCAAGGATTGATGACTCTTCATCACCTTGCTGTTATGAGTTCGAGGATATGTCTGTGGCAACTCAGACTCCTGGTGATAGCACCCCTATCAAATTTGCTTACAATGGTATAGATTTTGGAGCAGGTCGATCGACTGGTGGTGGTTTACATGCAAACTCCCTTGCGAAGGAGTTTGAGCGAAGGAAAGTAAATTTTGATGACAAGGCCAGAGCAATTGATGATGTCATGTCGGGGCATGCCGTAGAACCTGAGGAAGAATTGCAGTCACTGAAATCCAGATTTCAGTTGTGGCAAAAGAGTTACAGGATCCGGTTAAGGGAGGTCAAGAAAAAAGTACACAGGCTACGACAGGATGAAGCCGAGAAAAATCGACTAACATGGTGGGGGAAAGAAGAGCAAAACATCTTAGCATTTTGATTATTTTTTAGATGATCGTGCCGTCAAACATCTTATTTGTTTCAGGAACGCGTATTTTCTCGTAGCGGTTTGCAGCAGAATCAATTTGGTAGAGAGTAGGATAGTTGTGTATATGTATCGATGTTATCATCAAATTAGCCAACTCATCAGCTAAGGGATTGTGTTGATTTACTGCTAGTCATCCCTGCCCGAGTTCAGCATGAGGTTATAGTATATAGCATGTGTCAATGATGTAATTCATTACTCAATTGAATGTTGTAGTTAGGGTGGAAGATATAAAGAAACGTACATATCACTATTTGTTGAATGCAACTGGTACATGAGTTCTCTGTTCTCCAATCATTTAACCAAATCAGTGCAAATTTACACAATCATGCGTTCTCTTCGTTTTGTGGTACTACATTGAACAAATGAAACTGGGTTTATGATCCTGGCACGAACTTTGTGGCATAAACCCAGGCATTGTTAGCCACAGGGTTATCGAGATGGTCCAACAGATTCTCCAGAGGGCCTTTTCCAGTGACAATAGCCTGAACAAAGAATCCGAACATGGAGAACATGGCTAGCCTTCCATTCTTGATTTCCTTCACCTTGAGCTCAGCAAAAGTCACAGGGTCATCAGCAAGGCCAAGAGGATCAAAGTATTGTCCACCGGGGTACAGGTCGTTGCCCTCACCAACGCCGTCTAAACCGTTGATTCTAAACCCTTCAACGAGTCCCATGAGAACAACTTGAAATCCAAGAACTGCCAAAATGCTCTGTGCATGTACAAGATTGGGATTGCCCAAGTAGTCTAGTCCACCTTCAGAGAAGATTTGAGCTCCAGCCTTGAACCAAACTGGCTCTTTGAAATCCACTTTAACCCATTTCTCAAGAACTTCCGGGGTGATGCATCCCAAAGCTCCAAGCATTGCCCATCTCCCGTGAATAACCTGGTAAGTTAATTATGTTTTCATGTCACTTCTCGATCAAGAACTTACAGTTGTACCAATTAAAAAGTTTAAACACTTGGAATACCTCAAGAGCCCTGTTCCTTGCAAATGCCTCAGGATCAGCAGATAATCCAGCAGTGTCCCAACCATAATCACCAGGGAATTCTCCGGTCAAGTACGATGGAGTTTGAGCCGAGAACGGCCCCAAGTACTTGACACGGTCCGGTCCATACCACAATTCATTACCCTGTCCAAAAAATAAAAAGCATTAGACCAAATCATAAGTGATATAACCATACCAAAAGTGGGGTGGGGTGGGGTGGCGGTACCATGGTGTATTTCCCATTTCCCACAGAGACGACATCTTTAAGAGGGTTGGAATTCTTGGTTTGGCCCAAGAATGGAGTTGCCCTAACAACAGTGGTAGAACTGGCAGCCGCAGCCATTGATGCCATTTCTTGTTCAAGTTCAGAGTTGAGTACTTCTCTGTAATATGGGCTGTTTATGGAGAAAAGCTGTGTATTTCAGAGGTGAAGGGTGGGTTTATGTACAAAATGAGAATCATGGATTGGTGGTTAAGATTTCAGGTATGGGTTACATGTCAAGAAATCAACCAATCAGAAGGCTTGAAAAGATTATAAAATCTCAAGACTTATATCCTCATATCCACAGATTATCTCTTGCGACATTTTTATTATTACAGATCTGAAAAAAAAAATAATAATAAATAAAATAGATGTATAAAAACTGGAAAGATTAAAATATGCGGTGAGCGTGGATCGAACACGCGACCTTCAGATCTTCAGTCTGACGCTCTCCCAACTGAGCTATCCCCGCTTTGTTGGTAAAGACGTTATTTCACTTTATAAATTGAAGTATTTTAAGATTTGTTCCATAATTGGGCATATTGAAATGCGATTAATTGCATTATAAAGTTTCTCAATGTAAAAAACACATCTATAAATCAAGAGCCAGGGAAGAGAACTTAAAGATTTTTTCTTGCATTTGATCTATTTCGTAGGAGACTGAACATGAGATTTGACCGACCAAAAAACCTACATATGTAAGAATGGGAAGAGTTGGGTTGCTCTGAAGTGTTAAGCTTATGACTTGAAAACATATTATTTTTCCAAACTTGTTTCTAATCATTTAGATCGATAACTGTCCAGTAGTGATCTGGAATGAAAGTTTTTCATAGCTTAGAAAATTGAACTATATGCCTTTTATGAAACTTAATGATCAAACGTTTCAAGAATAGATAAATTCGACATTGTAGTGCAGATCCATCCGAAAAAGGACAATCAATCTAACAAACTGCTCCAATTGGATTTCATAGACCGGTCTACACACACTTAACACTAGAAAATAGAGTCGGTTGTTGAACGAGTGAGTATAGATTGAACTATTCGATCAATCGAAAAATCAACGAACTGGGCCTTGGGCTGGTACAAGTGGTATATCATGAGCGAATAGCATGGTGCAATTAAACCAATCAGTTTTAAAAAATTTCAAAACTTTTGACATTAGTGGTATTTGATCACGTGACATCTCATCTCAAATGCTAAATTAACAAATACAACAGTTCTTAATAAGCGATATAGATTCAAATATTCCCAATTAAATTTAGTGCACATAGTAATTTTGATGTATGAGTACTCTTATTTATTTCAGGGCTTGTTCGCATAAAACATTCATACGTTTAGTTTTTAATGTGTAAAACGTTTCCACATTTCAATTTTTTGTATTTTCGTCCTTATTTCCATGTTTAATTGTGGAAAACGTTATCCTGTGCATTTACTGTTAGCAGGGGAGGACCCAGCACTCGGCGAGTCCCAGCGACCACTCGTGTTGGATCCGTCGGAACAGTTTTTTTTTTACAATGAATATACGTTTGAGTTATATACTGGTAAGTTCCTTTTACCATACATTTCTTGTAGCTCAATTGAGAAGAACATGTATATTCGCATGAGAGGTCCCTGTTTCGAATCTATTTCCGAACATTTTTATTTGGAAATATTTTAAATTCTACAATTTTTGCCAAAATTAAATGAAATAAGGAAGATGATTCGAACCCCTAACCTCAGGATAAGATAATGAACACTTGACTATTGTGGCATTCATGAAATTTGATAATAAGTTTACCAGAATAATATATATTACATTTTATCGGTTTTAAAGCAATTGTAAAAAGTCGAACTTGTGCTCTTCCTTTGAATTATACAAAATTTGGCCACAATATCATTTGATGAATATTGTTAATTTTTACAACAAACTTATATATGTTCAGTTTGAACAAAATAATTGTTATATTTAAATTTTAGACCTTGTTTGATTCTTTTTTCAAAATACATTTTTCTTTCTTTTTTCAACCGCAATGTTTAATTTGAACAAAATAATTGTTATGTTTAAATTTTAGACCTTATTTGATTTCCTTTTTTTCAACACACATTTTTTCTCTTCTTTCAACCGTACATTTTTCAATAAAATAATATTATATGCAAATTCAAAATTTTTCCTTATTTTTAATCTATCAAATCACAATTTCAAAAGCATTTTTTGCAATAAAAAATGGGCATCAAACGGGGCTCTTAATATTTTATTGCTAACAACGACGATACACGCTCGCCCGTGCTGACTCGAAATCTTGGATTTACCGCTGACTGTTAGTCTCCACCATTAAATGCACACATGGACTCAATTTTATTTTAAAACAAGAAGGGTAAAATGATCAGGTCACTTAAAAAAAGAAAGAGTTCTTCCGGCAAGAGTTTTCCTTTCGAAATCTCAACCAATCACATTCTTCTTGCCCCCATTACCTTCCTCCCATTCTCCTATCATATCAAATTTGTCATCTCGTCGTGAGCTACTATACATGTAGTGGACGAACTAAGAGAATGTAATTTCTCGCAGTGGGTTGGGCTTCTTCTTCTTCTTCTTTTTTTTTTTTNTTACAACAAAATTATATATGTTTATTTTGAACAAAATAATTGTTATATTTAAATTTTAGACCTTGTTTGATTTCTGTTTTTTTTTTTTTTCAAAATACATTTTTTTTCTTCTTTCAACCGCACATTTTTCAATAAAATAATATTATATGCAAATTCAAAATTTTTTCTTATTTTTAATCACACACTCTATCAAATCACAATTTCAAAAGCATTTTTTGTAATAAAAAATGGGCATCAAACGGGGCTCTTAATATTTTATTGCTGACAACGACGATCCACTCTCGCTCGTGCTGACTCGAAATTCTGGGTCCGCCGCTGACTGTTAGTCTCCACCATTAAATGCACACCTGGACTCAATTTTATTTTAAAACAAGAAGGGTAAAATGATCAGGTCACTTAAAAAAAGAAAGAGTTTTCTTCCAGTAAGAGTTTGCCTTTCGAAATCTCAACCATTCACATTCTTCTTGCCCCCATTACCTTCCTCCCATTCTCCTATCATATCAAATTTGTCATCTCGTCGTGAGCTACTATACATGTAGTGGACGAACTAAGAGAATGTAATTTCTCGCAGTGGGTTGGGCTTCTTCTTTTTTTTTTTTTTGGTTTGTTGTTGAATATACTTGTAGTGTATCGAAAGTTGGCTTGAAGTGTAAATCTTTTTTGTTGATGTGTGTGAATGATGAACGATAAGAGCCAAAATATGTCTGAATATTATGGTTTTTTGTTGTTGAATGCTTAACAGAATATATAGTCATGCTGAACGCTTTTGGTTGTGACTTCATTCTCTTACAAAGCTTGTTTGTTTGATTTTTGTCCAACAATTGTATTTGTTGTAATTATTGATGTCTCAATTTATAAATTTGATTTGCTATCTTTAAATTGTAATTTGATCAGCACGTTAAGTTGCTGTGATTGATCAGTGTGCCAAGTTGCTGTATTGGACAGGATGCTTACCGAATAAGACATGGACGATTTTCACATAAACACGAAACGTAGGGACCTTTTTCGCAAAACCCTTCAAAACTAGGGATGGTTTATGCACAACCTTCTGAAACGTATGAATGTTTTTCGCAAAACTTGTTGAAATGTAAAAATGTTTTGCACATGTGCAAAACATCCATAAGTCTAGATGTACATTTAACGGTGGCACAAACAGCAGATGGACAAAAGGATGTTTTCCACAATGAAACATGAAAATAGAGGTGAAAATACAAAAAAATTGAAACGTATGGTTGCTTTGCACATTAAAGACCAAACGTTGTGACATTTTGTACTAATAATCCTTATTTAAGTGAGAAATCGTTAAGTTGCTTGTTCAAGAATACGTACAAGAGCCGTAGCAATGGGAAAGAAGATCGGGTTGAGAAGAAAAGAATTAAGACCGGACCGGATATTGGTGAGGTTAGAAATACTTCACAGGTGATATTGGTGATAAAGAAGGGACTCTATCAATCTGATACAAAGCCGATTCTCCATTCTTCTAAATTCAGTGATACGAGAATTTCTGAAGGACGAAGAGAAGTCTCCTCATTTCAGACGCCTCAATGGCAAGCTCGAGTGCATATAGGTTTCAATTAGCCATCTCTTCTTAATAAGGGCATGGTAAATTTGAGGAGATGGTTGACGAATATTGCATAGGAATCTGTTAAATAACTTGAACTTCTGAATTATAATTATCTGTTACTGCTTTCAATTATACAACATGTATGAAGCTGGAAAATGTAGCAGTCAATGCTTCAAGCTATAGTGTCCAAACCTGGAAATTCACGTGCCTAGGGTTCTTGTCCATTTGATCCTCTGAAGAGCAAAATCGTAAGGCTGCCAATGCAGAAAGAAATGAAGCAGCCATAGCAATGAGTCACAAATGAACCGAAGTGAGTTCCTACTATACATTGCCATCCAGATCCATATTGCCTGTCAAATTCCTGCAATTAACATTGCCCAGAAACCGTCATATGGTTAAAACGTATGTTTGGTATGAGATTCTGGACATCATACAGACAAGACTGAACATATACTCATCAAGATTCATATACTCAAGAATGAGATTTTGTGGAGCCAAGTTTTGTACACATACCTTCTTAATGAAACGGGCTATTTCAGTGGCCTCAGTGACATCGAAGAAATCAAGTGCCTTTGCTGCTATATGAAGAGCCTCTTGTTGCATGGTTTCGAGCATATCTGTCTCACCAATTACTGCTTTGCCTTCTAGCATTATTGCAGTAAATTTGAAGTTTATGCAAGTGGATAAAGAGCAAGTTTTTCTTCTTTCCACTATATACACAGTAGCAGAGAGGGGTGGTGGCCCTGAGGATTCCCTTTATGTGGTGATCAAGAATTCCAGATGGCAATTCCATAAAACATACCAAGTGGGTCAAATTTGGTTCATACGTACGTGTGTGGGTAAGCTTGGCAAGATAACATAGGTCAAATGGATTTCTGATCCCTCTTTGTCCACGGCATTCTCCGGTTCATTGAGCATAAATCAATTGGATCACACTAGACCGCTGCCTATCCCACTAAATAAAAATATTTTCATATGTATTTAACTATAAATGCATTTGCATTATAGCACGTATTCATCTTATAGTAAAAAATTCTTGCATAAAAGACGAAATAAAAAATTAAAATTAACGGCATAAAGTACAATATGTACAATCAAGAAAGTAGAAGACAGCCTGAAGGAGGATATTTCCGTGACATGCATTTTACCTCATAAACAAGTGATCTCCAATCACACAATTACTCTCTAATAATAACCTTAGCAGGAAACAAATACAGATATAATAGATAACACTAGAACAATTCATTTCGAAAGATGGTTTTGTATACATCAAAAACCCAATAAACGCTTTACATCGAAACTACAGCCTCATCCTGCTGCCGAGCAAGATATTTCTCCCTTCGTTCTTTCTGAACACAAGTAATGAAAGCTTGATTAGAGGAATAAAATGGAAAAATTCCTTAGCCTATTTCCACATATAGGTTGTAATCTGGTATATTCAGCTATAGACATGAGCAATGAATACTTACCCATTCATCTATAACAAGACCTTCCCCAACAACACGTGGACCTGTGTCCGGTGGAGGCTTCTTGCGTGCTTCTGTAGCAGCGTCAGCTTCAGCCAATTGACGCTTCAGTTTTTCAAGTGCCTTCGATCACCAGAAAACATCATTAATTGATATTACACCAAAATTCATGTCAGAGTATGGAATATAACTTGATGAAAATTGATTCTTACAGGAGTTGAGTGCTCTGGATCCAAGAAGACAACGCGTAATATTCGCTCAAGAGTGACTTGATCCCTTTGCTCATCAAACTGCAGAGAGAGTAAAAAAAATCCACCAATTGAGCTCTAGATGTGCTCATGTAATTCAAATCAAGCTCCAAGAAGCAACTGAAATATATACAACTCCAAGATGATGAACTAAAGGACCACATAAGTACAAGCAACGTTTAAAAAGTCAGCCCAGAGTAGGAGCAAAAATTATATGAAAAGTTCAGGAACAGAAACACATGAATGCGCGTCACTTGGATAAATTAACTCACAGAAGTCAAATCAATCTGCATGCAGATCACACAATAAACACAGGTCTATTTTGGAAGTGTGCAGTAATTTACCCCAGGTCAAAAGCATCATTTTAATGGATGGGATCTATTCATATACCATATGAAACTTGCATTGTCCCATGCCACATGTTTAGCAAGCTAGCAGGTCATTTCGCTGGTGATTACTCGTATTGAGACCATGCAATACCTAGGCCATTGGCGGTCCATCTTACAGCTAAGGCCCAATGATGACCACGCTGTTATGATATTTATTCTTCATTAGAAATAGAAGGTATTCCATTTAATTTATGAAATATTTAATTTATCTTGGTATCAAGAAAGAGTGAGACATAACTTGTAACTCCTGTAAGTATTCCATTTCTGATAAAGGACACTGCTACGTGTCTAAATAGGAAGCATAGCAGAATGTAATGCCAACAACTTAAAAATTGTAGGCCTAGAAACAAGCTACTGGCACCAAGCATTCCAGCCCCAACACAAAATCAACGTCTTGTTTGAAAAGACAAGTGATTCCTGAAAATTAAACAAAATATACATCTTTGTCAAACATGATAAATTTCTTGTTCCTTATAGATGCTAACCCTGAGGCACAAAAACCCTGTAAATGAAACACCAAATGGTGCCTGAAGAGAGTGACGCCATTGAGTTTGGCATTGACAAGTTAGCTCAAAAAACACCAAAGGTATTGCATTAAAAGAAAAAACTTGGTGAGTGATGCCACTACATTGCAAAACAGCTTAGGAGCAACATGGGGTATGTTCAGTGCTAAATAGAACAGAACATATCTAATTTGAACATGTAAGTGCCCATAACATATATAGGAATTTTTTGTTGTTGAAGACAGTTTATGTCACTTGTCATTTGCTCTTCTTCTTCTTCTTATACTTTCAGTTTCTTCTTTCCACCATGCAAGACAAATGTGGGGATAGGGGTTAATCAAGTCAAGATCCTACAAGTCACCTGTGTTTGGGGAAAGAAACCATGCAACAAAATGCAGATGCCTCATCTACGACATTTAAACCCAAAAAAAACAGTGATCCTATTCTATAATTCCAATACACTGGCAGCGAAGTCCAAAGCGCAAATATAAACTGGTTCATTAGGTACCAGGAACTCAACGAGTTAAGAGTGTTTTGCACCCATCGTGCATTTAAATAACTATGAACTTAGCAGATATGAAACAAAAGTGAAAGGAGAATATAAGTCATGGAATCAGAAATAATGATCAAGGCAATTGGAAAATTATGACAATTAACAGGCAATGTGCAAGCAGCTACTCACATAATAGTTCAACCATTAATTGCTAATTGGTAGATGAGCACTAATATCATAAGCAAAACTCTCACCAACTCAGGAACAAAATCTGTTCCTCCTTTGACCTTTAGACTCATGATATTGAATTTAACCTTGCTCTTCTGATCCGTAGGCTTTTCGTTGTTCTCTGGATGCTCCACAAACTTGAACACTGTCGAACAAATACATATTCATAATCAGATGGCGTCAATCTTTCAAACAAACTAAAATTATGCATAAATAAGTAATTTGACCTTGGCGTGTACAGACACACGTTTAAATTAAGTCAAAAAATGGCAATTACCAGTAGCAACGAGATTTTCTCCAGGAGCAAGAATACCGCCAGGGGGGCGCATATAACAACTCTTTGGTGCAGTAGTTTGAAACTAAAACCCGGAAACAAAAAATAAAAAATAAAGAAGAATCAGCAACTTCATCACACCACTTTTCCACTTACATTGTGAGGTTACCAATATATATACTTGTTTAATAATCAAACAGGGTAAAGGCACCCATCAATTGATCATTTCTATAGGCCAACAACATTTTTGATTTATTGATTTTTAGTGTAATCTAATGGAAAAAGCTAATATTGTATGAAACGATCATTGTTATACAAGAATTTAAATGCATTGCAGTACTGAAGAAAACATTGTGATGCTGTATGTCAAATAAAAAATTACTAAAAAATGAGTATTGAGCATGCAATGGTAAGGAGAAGACTCTTAAAAGAAAGAAACAAATAGAACCGCATAAACCATTACCTTAAATGCAACGTAAGACTTGCTGGAATTCTTAATCCTAATTGCACTCCTCGCCTGCTTTCCTGGTTCATCTGGAAATATATACACGCACGTAAAAACACAGACAACACATGCCGTAATCATTCGTTTTTCAAAGAACTCTGAACCAAGAAGAGGATAAGAACTGTTTCCAGTCCTAAAGAGCACAGTGAGTAATGAAAATTAAAGAATAATTGCAGGAATTTAAGGATAAACAAGAGCCAGCTGTAACGCACAGGGGAAGTATAGATTGCTCGAAGGATCGAGGCGAAGTCTTCGTCTAGCCGGAAGGATCAATCTGGCAAATGAAGAGATGGAGACGGTGGATGAGGACGACTGGTTTCTCGAACCGACGCCGCCGTTTTGGTAGTTGTGACTTTGAGAGTTATTACGAAGTTTCTGAGTAGAGGAAGGAGAAGAGGTCGTTGCTGACTGCCACAACCCGCATAGTCTCCACTTTTGGTGGCGGTGGTGACTGTCGGCAATAGCCATGTTCGCCGGAATCTGACGCAATTATCCGACTGGAACTTTTTTCTCTCTCTTTTGCTGATTACAGGCAATCAGTTGCGTTGACTATATGTTATGATTGGAGTTTGTAAAAGTCAGAGGAGAAGAGTATTTATAAGAGTATTTTTGAATTTTTATTTTTTGTTTTTATAATTTTCTTCGCGCGAGGAGGTGATAGTCTTCTGGCAGAAGAGGAAAGCGAAGGGAGAGAAGCGCAGGCGGACTTCAATGGAAGGTTTTAAATGGATTTGATTTATATTTCACGTCCGTTCACACGCTTTCCGTTAATATTTGGTACAACTCATCGTCATGCACTACGTCTGGCTTGCGGTGGTTGTACCTTTCCGTTTACGATTTTTTGTCAAATGCTATGTGTACTTTTATGAACACATAGCATATTCTACCTTTTATATAGTGTAGTTAAGAGTACTCAAGTTTTAAAAGTAAGGTTTTGGTCCATAACTTCTTTGAATATATAAATTTGGGTCTTTACATAACAAAAATAATCAATTTGATGTGAAAATTATACGTGACTTTTATTTAAATTAAAGATAATTGTTAAATAGTTTAACGATTTTGTCCTCTAACTATGAGTAGTGTGAAAATTGTGCTCGATTTTAACGTCTAAGTTGATTTTTCGATCAAGCAGGATCTGACTTCACATATTTAAATACACTGTGGAACAAAACCTCACTTTTGAATATTGAGAACCAATAATCATATCACTTCGAAAGCTGGAGAACTCAGCCTTAATTTTCTCTAAATCGATACAAATTCTCCCTTCTATATATATATTTTTTATACCACCACAAACACGACAATTTTAGTAACGTGAAAAATAAAGTACATACTTGAATTGGACTAAACAGGACCTTGATAAAGTAATAAACGAGTACAAATTATTTATTTATCACGATCTTTTCATTATTAGTATTTTTTTTTTTTTTACGCCCAATAGAAAAGGAATGCAAGAAGAAGAAGGTATTACTCTTAGTGTGTGTTTGGTAGGGATTTTTTGGGAGAAGAATTGATTTTGAATAGTGATATGATGGAAAATGTGTGTTTGAAAAAGAAGATAAGATTATTGATGTGATAGAAAATATTATTTTATTGAAGAATGTGTGGTTGAAAATGAGAATTGATTTACTGTTGAAAATGAGAATTTTTAGCAAACATAGCCTTAATATAGTAAATTTTGATGATTTTGAATAGTGATATGATGGAAAATGTGTGTTTGAAAAAGAAGATAAGATTATTGATGTGATAGAAAATATTATTTTATTGAAGAATGTGTGGTTGAAAATGAGAATTGATTTACTGTTGAAAATGAAAATTAGTACTAAACATAGCCTTAACATGCTGAAAAATCTTGAATTCAAAAAAATTGAGAATTTCCCATATTACCTTATCGGGTTTTCCAAATTTTAGATCGCATTATCTACTATTAAATTAATCTATATAAAGAAAAATATGTCAAATTAACACGTTTTATCGTCTCAATAATGAGTCATATATTATCTGATAATTCAATTTTCATTTTTCTTTAAACTCATTTTTAATTATACATTTATGGGATAAAGCCATGTCCAAGGTACAAGCTCCATACAGCAGCAAAGACAACGGAATGGCATATGACCAATGCGGTAGCGAGTAGAGTTCACGCGAACGATTCAATACGTGGGTGAGAAGAGTGTATAAAAATTATTGGTTGTTAAAATCAATAATTGTGGTAGGATTTTGTATGGGGGAGGATGTGAGTTGGAAATGAAAATTAAGTGTGCGGTCGGCTAAGGTTAGCTGGTGTAGGTTCGTTGGGAGGTAGGAATTAATTAGGAAATCAATGACACTATCCAGGTGAATTTGACTCATTTAATTACACCATTCCATGCGTTAAGAAAATTATTAAATACTCCATCCGTCCCATGAAGATAGATTTAATTCTATCTTCATACATATTTAAATTTTTTTTAATTAATATACGTTGAAACTATAAATTTTACGTAATTTTTTTAACTGATTAGAGTTGAACGTGCATGACACGTTATTTTGAAATACTTTATAAGTATCGTGAAAGTAATATCTGACACTTTATTTACTAATTTGATCTAAATATGAGAGAAATGTAAACACTTGAAAATAAATGTTAACTATTATATATGAATGTAAATAGCGATATGCATGCTTGAATGTGAGTATTAGAATTATGCCTAAATATATAAATAAAGATTAATGACAAATACGATACATGAATTAACGTGAATGTTAATTAATTTAATATTAATATCAATGAATATGAGAGAGAGAGAGAGAGAGAGAGAGAGAGAGAGAGAGAGAGAGAGAGAGAGAGAATGAATGTTAAATCATTTATATTAAATTAAAACAATTTAGTTTTCAATTAATTGAAACCATAGATTAATCCAAATTATTTTATAGGATAATATGTGATTAAAAATGAATTTTAAAACAAATGGGGTTCAAATAGGGAACATATATAATGTATTTTCTAGGTCTATAAAAGATAAAACTTACTTTTCTTTTTGTGTATATTTCAAAAATATATGCTACTTTTTTTGTTGAGAGTATGATTGATTTCTTAATTTTGTAATATGTCTCTATTTAATGTGTCCGATGATCAATAAATATGGATTACTCATATTTAAATCATTTTTTTAATGTATGGGTATATATATGTGTGTGTGTAGAATATCTCGATATGTAAAACAATGCTACTTATATAGTTAAAATTTAAAATATCTCGATAAATTCTACATATAACGAGTCAATTTATATTCGTATAGTTTACTTTGAGAAAATTAACTACAAATAATTGTAGAAGATTCCATCTTTTATGAGATAGATATGACTAAAAAGTGGTATATGTAATACTCAAAACTAAAAATATTGGAAGATAGTGTGAACTTGATGAACAAGTGGTCATATACTTGTGAAAAATATAACGTTAATTAATCATGTACGTAAACTACATTGTCACAAATACCTTGAAAGTGACAAATAACATTTTATAATTGATTTTCAGTAGGGTAAGAATGATTATTAAAATAAAGCGTTTAAAATGTGTTGATTGACGAAACTATGAGAGGTAACTTATAATTAAATTTTGTTCTTCTTTCTTCATTGAGTAATGCTATTCATCCCCACTGGGGATGAAAACACAGTCTATGTGACGTTAATGTGGCATTAAATGATAGGTGAAATTAAATAAGTCATTTGATTTCACATTTCATTTAACCTATCATTTAAAGACACATAGACTGTGTTTCCATCTCCACTGGGGATGAATAACATCACTCTTCTTCATTATACTGTCTCTTAAATGATTATGGTATGATCGATATATTAAATGAAACACGATTAAATTTTATTTATTTATTTTTTTAAAGAAAAAAGCGCGCGATATATTAGATGATATTATCTGTAATTCCATTTATGAATATGTCCTATGTATTGAAAGCACCTGCAATTATAAACGATACCACAATTATGAATAGGTCTTGAGTTAGGTGTTTGTGCTGGAAATATTAAGGATGTCTGAGTAAAGATTGATAGAATTCTTAAATTATGGGCAATAAAACTTTATGGATGCACCTAACGTTAAGGATAGAGAGTTAAATGTAAATCATGATGTATTGTCCATTTTTTAGTGCAATCTATACATGAATAAAATTGGAGTAAAATCGGAAATAAATAAAGAAATTATATTATGTGCTTATTTGGTTAAGCTTTTAAGTGCTTATAATTAGGCCTGTCTGGTGGAGCTGCCAAAAAGTGAAAATTGATTTTTAAAACGTTTGGTTCTAACACAACACACCCAGAAGTTCTGCAGATTAATTGGTTTTTTTACCGTTGACTGGTTCACCGGTAATAAAATCAATTAAAATCAGGTTGAAAAGCGTGTCCATACACACGCTTAGTGTGTCAGAGGAATATATGGCTAAAAAGTAAGTAAAAATTGTAGATCCTACATAATATGGGGATGAAAATAGAGTTATTTCAACTTATATATGTAAGTACGTTATAAACATAGTTTGATCCGCTTCTAAAGTTATCTACAACTAAAGAACCATTCATAGTTTTTAATTTTTTTCGGATACTTTTCCTCATGATTTTTACCTTTTAAAGAAAAATGGGAAAAATTCATGGGTCAGGTGTTTACTATTCCAAAATTAAAAATCAGGCCCAATANATAAACGATACCACAATTATGAATAGGTCTTGAGTTAGGTGTTTGTGCTGGAAATATTAAGGATGTCTGAGTAAAGATTGATAGAATTCTTAAATTATGGGCAATAAAACTTTATGGATGCACCTAACGTTAAGGATAGAGAGTTAAATGTAAATCATGATGTATTGTCCATTTTTTTAGTGGAATCTATACATGAATAAAATTGGAGTAAAATCGGAAATAAATAAAGAAATTATATTATGTGCTTATTTGGTTAAACTTTTAAGTGCTTATAATTAGGGCCTGTCTGGTGGAGCTGCCAAAAAGTGAAAATTGATTTTTAAAACGTTTGGTTCTGACACAACACACCCAGAAGTTCTGCTGATTAATTGGTTTTTTTACCATTGACTGGTTCAACGGTAATAAAATCAATTAAAATCAGGCTGAAAAGCGTGTCCAGACACACGCTTAGTGTGTCAGAGGAATATATGGTTAAAAAGTAAGTAAAAATTGTAGATCCTACATAATATGTGGATGAAAATAGAGTTATTTCAACTTATATATGTAAGTACGTTATAAATATAGAGTTTGATCCGCTTCTAAAGTTATCTACAACTAAAGAACCATTCATAGTTTTTTATATTTTTTCGGATGATTTTTACCTTTTAAAGAAAAATCTGTATCAATAAATGTTATTCGAGACCCAAGCCCAAATTGACAATTGAAACCAGACCAAATCGACTCGACCCAATTTGGTTTCAAAAGAGGGAAAATTACCAAAAACCAGCCATTAAGTTTGACC